CTCACCTGATGGTGAGTGACTACCGCCGCCCATGAACAACTGTAACACCAGGGGAATTGCAGATGCGTTGCCGGCCTTTTAAAAAGGAGTAGGCTCTTTTCTTGAAGGTCCCTAAGTCGTATTAGTCTGGAAAATCGCTGGTGGTAATCGATTCCACAAGGAAGTTGTGTGAGGAAGAAAATATTTTCTAAATCGCACAGTGGTGGACCGCCAGTCATCCAGAAGGTATGGATGGTATCGCGAGTTTTGCCGCGATGTGCGATGGTGAAATTGAGCGGCTGGAATTAGTCCCAACAATTCCTCAAAGCACTCCCCGTGGTACATGCGATAAAATACCCAAAGAGATGCAACATCACTACGCACCGAAGATTCCGATACTTGCTGCGGCAACCAGGGGAGTGCCTTGAAACTGAGGAGATACGACTGAGACTACGACCTTTAGCGGTAAACGTGGAAACTTGTGTCTTCTGGGGATTGAATTGGACTAGATTTAGTCGCCCCCAATACGAGACTTTGTTCAATAAAGTCTCGACTTCGGATAGAAGTTTGTTTCGGTACTCGGTCATGTAGTTCATGAATCGTAAGCTACTTAAATTACAGTACTACTTAGTATACATGAATATGACGGTATTGCACCACACGTACCTAAAATAGTATTATCTTAATTATTTTTTGCGATTGTATTCGCTTGGCAGTTTTACGCCCAGTTAAGAGACATATCTCTACTAATTAAAAAAAAAAACTACCGCTAGTAAGCATAGTATGTAACTGCGAACGCAAGTAAAATAAATTAAACTTTTATAATTTTATTGGTAGAAAAAACTACATAATGTGAGATTTTTTGAAGTTAATCTATCAAGCTTCGGCCGTATCCTTAAGAGGGTACTCCATGCGAACGACCTTGAGCATTTGGTCCGCCGCGCCGACTCGCTACAATATATCGCGTAAGAAATATGCAAGACGCCACCTACTGTACGAACGTAGTATTATTTTTTCAACATCAATAAACTATTTTATGGAAATACACACGGGCGTACGTACAACGATAAATGTATTTTAATTTTTTTTTATTCGGTATATTAGTTGCATTATATTAGAATTATGTATTCTCATATATTATCTAATTATGAAATTTTATAATTAATTATACATTAAAAATGAAGCATTGAAAATTGTGAGTTTAAAAGATACCTACTCACTATAGGTAAATAGATAGATAGCTCGCCTTTTGTACAAATATTTGGTGCAATAAAGAATAAATAAATAAATAGGATGTTTCGCAGATGTGTTTTTGATTATTGTTAATTTTTACGTGTCATGTATTGAAAAGTAACGTACCTACCTACTAATTTTTGAACTGAGCACCTTGTAACTTAGCCTGCTTATTACTTATGCTGGCTGACATTATCCTCACCCCAAGGATTGATAAGGATGAAAAAAAACATGTTTGTTTTTATTTTTATTCAGTTTTATTTCTACATACGTAATTATATTCATTTATACGTAAGGGTAACTTTAATAAAGGTAATACAAAAACCAACAAGAAGTATAAGGGTTATAGGTAAAGTGTCCAATACGTCCCGTTTTGAACGGGGCTGTCTCTTTTCTCGGTTTCCTGTCCCATTGTCCCCAAACAAAGCTCCGGGACACAAAATTGTCCCGTAACTCGTTGGATGGAAGTATTCAAAGTCTTTCGCACCAACAATCTTTAACATAATTTTTTTTAATCGAATATATTTTACGTGTACCTGGTACAAATGCTCCAGTAGAAAGAGTATTTTTCATTTTGAATAAATTGTGGGCGTCTGAAAAAATCACTTACGTTTCCAGTACTTTTTACCGAATTACTATACCTACTAAGATATTGTGGTTAGGTATTATGATTATTTTTAACTGTATACTATACTGATAATATTGAATTAGCTTTGAAATGTTAATTATGGATTCAAACCTTACATGCTAATGGTGCTTAATTTTTATATTTGCATTTACTTCAAAGAAAATAGACGCAAAAAGCTTCATCACGCAGTAAAAAACACAACAAATATATGTATAACTAATACTAAAAATTATTCCCAAAACAAACAAATAATATTACCTATAAATAACCTAATCAGTAATAATAATATTATTGACTGATAAGATGACGTGAGCGTGTGCGCTGGCTGACGCCGTGACTAACGACACGGGTTTCACCTTCAAGAGCTTAGCGCTCACTGACTCGTGACTCCAGCAACTAGGCTTGCCAACTTTCCCGGATTTTCCGGGACGTCCCGCTTCTAGGTAAATTTTGGACCGTCCCGCCGTAACCCCTTGCGTGACGCCTTTTGTCCCAGAAGTCAGTGATTATACGATACCATTTTCAAATGCATCAGCAGAGAGAGTGTTTTCTCTCTGTGGAAATGCATGGACAGACAGCAGAAATAACCTGTTTGTTGACCACGTCAAGGCTGAACTACAAATTAACATTAATTTTGATCAAAAATGCAGTGAATTTTATAACCAATGTGTTTTTTTTTCTACCCAATTTGTATGTGGTGTGTTGTGTCCCGCGTAATATACCCAAGTCCCGGATGTTAAGCTGGGTTATCCCGGAAATGCCTTTTTTAGAGTTGGCAAGCCTACCAGCAACCCCGTGGGCAGTGAATACACCCAGTTTTTAAAATAATTTCTTAATAAAATCAAATTTTGGTCTTTTGAAAAAAAAATATGATAGAAATGTTCATTAATAAATTGCCTATCCATTAGTGTCAATCTCAAAATAAATAATGCTTACTTTACGAGGAGATGCATGTTATCAATAATTATTTCACATTTATTATTTACATATACATTATTTTCGTTGTAAGGAGATTATTTTAATATTTATTCCTTTTGAAAAAAATTGGATATGACTCTTATGGAATCAAGATTATGTAGAAATATAATGTGTTTTTATTAGTTGATATATCTTTTTAATAAAAAGGAGATAGCTCCTAAAAACTGCACAAATAATGACTAGCGCGACATTTTGCTCAACCATGCGCCTTAAGGCGAACTACTTGTCAAAGTTATAGACCCCGCCAAAGAGTATGTAAATTATTATTAAATTATTAATGAATTTATAGATGATAATAACCCCTGGAAATGAGATGATCGCTACCAAGCTATTTCTAATTTGTTGTGTTGTTAATTTGTGTAACATACATGATTGTAAGCTGTTATTGAAAAAAAAGTCCCGCTAGGTTTCTTGCTGGTTCTTCCCAGGACAGAGGTTTTTTTTTTCGACCCAGTGGTAATCATACAAAAGAGTGACTTTCAATAAGTATTATTTATAATCTATATTGAATAAAAAAGTTTCTGTTTCTGTTTCTATTACATACTCTTATTAAAGAAGGGACCCCTTAGAAAAATAGATAAGAGTGTTCAGAACTTAGAGTACAAATAAGCATGGTATAGAGCGCGCGTATCGCTCAATGCTCATTATGCCAAGCGTAACCAGATGTTCCTACATAGTTGAGAATGGTTGAATAGTGATGCCCCAAGATTGAAGCTTATGCGTTATTATACTTAAGATATTAATTTGATTATGTAATTATTTGTAAATATTATGTAAGCGATAATTTTTTTTATAGGATCGGGTGACAAACGAGAACACCGTCCACCTGATGGTAAGTGGTTGCTGTGGCCCATATACATCTACATCTAGCCTCGAATGGCAAGTAGTGTTTAGTGATGTGTAAGTGTCTGAGACCTGGACCAGCTTAGGCGACTGGCAGCGGCCAATTTTCAGGCTGCCACACAATGCTGCATCACTCCAGCGGTCTTCCCCGCTGGACCATTTCTTTCTTCATTGTAACTATTTCAGTCTATTAGCTTCATTGTACATTTAACTAACTTAAACTCGCCTAATTCCACTTTCATCGTAGAATCGAACACGTGATACCCGACACAGTACGGACAGTAGTTCAAAATGCGACATTCAATGTCCGGGATTCACTTATCACAAAATTATAAATAGGGAACTAACGCGATCTCTTAATGAGTCGTATGGTTCAGCGTTAAACACAACTAAGTTCCTTCGTTTGACACCAAAACACCACGCCGCGATAAGAATTCAAAATACGCCTCGTTGACACGTGAAACTAACAAACCAGCCAACACACAAAAAGGGCACTTAAAGCGACGACACAATTATAATGATTTCCAGACAATCAACCGAGAGACGCTCGAATCCTATCGAATCCTAGACCGTATATCTACTCGGCGCGCGTGTGCGTAATTCCGCATCACCCGAACAAGTTAAATATTGCAAAATTCACATATCCACGGACCCTACCGGTCGCGTGAACTTCGGCCGCGATAACCGAGATACGCGGTTTCCCCGCATCGCGGCCAGCGAGCTACTCATCTCTTCGCCCACGCGTCGAGCCACTGCAAGCCGCACACGGCCGCCCTACCTGGTGGCGTTTACTTCACCTACATACCATCAGGTGACGCGCCAGCTCGAACACGATTGGACGGCGTTCAAAATGACCAATTTTGGGCATAAACAAGTGCTCTGATGGTGATGTGATTCTCAAAATGAGGTGTCTGTCTGCTTAGACGCCTTGAGATACCATCGCCAACCGTCAGTTGTCTGCTGGCTCAAGTTGCCGTCCCAAGGGCTGCACAATGTGACGCATCAACATATTGTGAAGCAGTATATACTATGAAGGATAATTATTGTAATATATTGTAACTTCGGACTCAGAAGGGCAAGATCCCAGAGCCGTAAAGCCAGTTATTAAGAAGAAGAAGTATTGTATGTTTTGCTGTTTTGTAGTTTAACTATATAGTTTGTGAGTTTAACGTATGTATAATATATTCATTATATACGTGTCTAGTATCCATTCCATTATATAAAGGTACTCAGTGAGTTATTCTAGTGTACTATCTTCAGCACAGATCTGAGAACTGTAAAGAGTAATACCGGAACCAGCTTTAACTTTCTGACAAGCATATTTCAAAATTTTGAAGTCATGTCACAAGACCAGGTATTCCTTGCTGTAATATTATGCTTTACGTGAAACAAGTTAATTCAACGGAAGGAAAGAAATATATTTAATTATTGGTAATAGAATGCACAAGCAATACAAGTTTCTGTAAGCTAATAATACCTTCATAATTAATGAAAGCCGATTTATACAATAAAATAGAAAACAAGTTCATCATCATCATTACAGTCGTTCACAAGTCCACTGCTGAACACACGCCTCCCCAAGGAATACCAAAAAGTACAGTCCTGAGCCACCTGCATCCATCGATTTCCTGCATGTTTTACCAGGTCGTCACTCCATTTAGTGGGGGACGCCCAACACTTCGTTGGGCTATGTCGGTCACTGGTTCTACTGCGGATATCCTCATTTCTAAGTTTATCATGTGGGGAAACTGAGCATAATCCTCTCCATAGCTCGCTTAGCGACCTTGAGCTTCCTCAACCGGCCAGCAGTGAAGGACTACGTTTCAGTTCCATAGGTCATCACTGGCAACACACACTAGTTGTACAGTCTCATTTTCAAGTTTTTAGGTATACCTAAACTGCCCATTTATTTTTTAACTCAAAACGATACATGGGTTTCAGTTAGCAGGTTAATAATAAAAATAAACATTTTAATGTCATTTATTTCGAAAAGTTGTAACTTTATACAATTAGTATTCACTATAATTATATTATTCACATTAATAATAATTATTGTTATTATAACAAATAGTGAAAAATAAAAATCAATCACCAGTTCACCAACTTTGTTAAAGCATAGTTCCTCAGACAGTAATGATTAAATGTAATACATTTATATTTTTTGTCAGTGGAACAAATTTGCTGTAATAAAGTTGGTGATGATTTCAAAAAAGAATGTTTTTTTATATTAACCATTGTTATCAACATCGCCTTTAGAACTGGAACCGTAAGTGATTTTTTTTTAGACATCCACAATTTATTCATAATAGAAAAATACTCTTTCTACTGGAGCATTTGTACCAGATAGACATGAATATATTCAATTAAAATGTGAAAATAATTATGTTGAAGATTGTTGGTGCAAAAGTACTTAAATTAAACCCAGAGTTTTTGTGGAAACTTTAAACTTATCCCTTTCGGTAATTTTTTGATCGGTCTCACTCTCGTGCCGTTCCTGTCTGACAAAATTCATAGTTTTAAGTTAGGTTTATTATATCATAGATTTCGGAAAATGGAACAATTTTGCATCCCAGAGCTTTCTTTGGGTATAACGGGACAAGTGATTGAGAATAGGTATACTCCCATTCAAAACGGGACATATGGTCACTTTAGGTATACCTGACGAGAAGATGTGCCGTAATTTCCCGAACACTAACCAGCCCAGTTGAAAAAAACAAGTTATTAAGATTTAAGACTGAACGGTAGCCATAAAGCTGTAGTCCCGATTTTCAGCTCATACGTCATGAGTTACTTAAATGTAAATAATACATTAATGTCTTAATTTATTGGCTCTGAAGGTGAAAATAATTGCATAATTTTAATAAATACGAAGTTACCCAAATAAAATTAAAATTTCAAGGAACAGTGACACTACTAATCTAAAAAAACTGGTCCAAATATTTTTTTTTATAGGATTTGGTGACAAACGAGCACACAGTCCACCTGATGGTTAGTGATTGCTGTGACCCATAGACATCTACATCTATCCTCAATAAAGAATCAAAATACAGATGTGTTGTCACCCGTGAGTACTAAGATCGAAGTAAATCAGTAAAAAGGTTCTCCGGTTCTCTATACTTACCATACGAAACAGCAGAAATCAGAAATGTTTATTTGCTTTAAACATGGTAGTACAAAGATCTTGATATAGTGATATGTTCTCATGTTTGACTTATAACTGTCATGCAAATTTAAAAGTAATTACATTTTAATCTACTTAGAGGTAAAAGTGAGTTAATAGAATAAATATAAAACCAATGGTAAACATGAATCTTAGACAGAACATTACATTACATTTATAAATTGTATAATATTTTATGTCAAATTATTCAATTCATAAATAAAGTAAACACAAAAGCTACAAACACAATTAAAATACAAAAATCTCTTGGTCATCTAAGTATTCTTGGACTGAATAAAAGCACCTAGTCAAAAGCCAGGAATGTAACTTTCTTTTAAACAATGCTAATGGCAGAGCCTTGAAACTTGGATGAAGCTTATTATAAATTTTGATAGCCGTACAATAACAGCTTTGTTTGTATAGTTGAAGTCTTATTCTAGGTTGCATGATCCTTTCTTGATGTCTGGTAAGTTTACTTTTGCATTCCCCTCTAGTGACAAAATAATGAGTGTTGTCGTACAAAAATACACATTTGTTTTATATACAGACACGGTAGCGGTAGGATTCCAAGATTTTTGAAAAGGGGTTTACAGCTTTCAAGAAAATGTACTCTGCAAATAGCCCTAATACATTTCTTTTGGGCTACGAAAGCCCAGTTTACATCCACTGAACCTCCCCACAATATAGAGCCGTAACTTAATAGTGATGACACATAGCCATGGTAGGCCGATAGAGCAGTTTCAATGGATGATATAAGCAGTGTTAAGCTATTATATTAACATTGGTATTCTGTGAGAGCGTGGCACTTCCCCGGTCGGGCCGACCCATTCATGCTACAACTATACTGCTAATATAGCTGTAGCATGGCTCTACCACATATAAAATATACCTTCACTTATAATTTATTCAGAATTGTGTTACAATTTATAAAACAAAAAAAACAATACAATTTCACCTTTCCCTTTACAGGAACAACAAGTGAAAAACTTGAAAAGATTATTAGAAGGTTGGCGCATGGCGCTTTTGCCACTGAAGGCAGTATTTTTATGGGAACAGCGGTGGCATCCATGTGCTATTGTTGCTTCCATAACACTGGCATATTTATTCATTTGGCTTTTAGATTTGAATTTTCTTGCGACAATTGCGATTGTTGGCCTAGTTATCAATTTTATTGATTTCCTTGTGCCTTTTATATGCAACATAATTTATAGCCCCAGTTCCTGGACAGGACAGAAAGAAAAAATGTTTGAGGAAATTTGTAGAAGTTTGGTTACTCAATACAACAAAATTGTGCACAGCATTCACACATATTATTCTTTACGAGAAAATAGCCCTTGCATGGTAAGAATTTTTAAACTACAGTGATATATCTAAAACATCTTTGGAAGGAATGTACAAAACTTACAATTGATTTTGTGGGAGGAAGGAAACCCCTCTGTGAATGGTGGATGGGGAAGCCTGTAGTTTTGAGAAAAAAGAAACTTTTTTATTTATTAAGTAAGCATTTCTTAGTATCCTGCTGTGTAAAAGGGTAAAAAAAAGAAGGGGTAGGCAGAGGATGGCAACATCTGTAATGGGAAATAATGTCCATTGCCACACCTCAACCCACTGCAGCTGATATCTTAATTTTTTTATATACACATACTATATATAAACAATGATCCCCCATAGATTGCCTCATTTGCCATAGTTGCCACACTTGGCAGGCAGGTTGGGAACTGCAGTATTTTATTTTTAATTGTTATTAGGAAGGCACTGCTGCCCATTGCCTGGTTTGTTTCCCTGGCACCTCTTGTTTTATTTTTTATTTTATTTTGGTATATAAACATTACGCCCACACTAGAATTTTCTCCTGTATCGTGGAGGCAGTTTACAAACATAAATTGCACGAGGATAAACATCCAGACTTGGAACAATTATTTGTAGGTCATACAAATACTTTTTCCGTGCGAGATTCGAACTCGCGGCCCCCAGCGCTGCAACCCATTGCTAAGCCACTACACCACGGAGCCGTCAAACCTTTTATATCACCCATAAGACAATATGAGGTAGTCAATGTTCTTACACTGCCAGTACAAGGCGACATCTGGTTTACTATTCAACACAAAACAATCAGCGACAGAAAGCATCAACAAATATACAAAATATCTGGTACTGAGATCTGAATCTGACCTCCATAATCCTCTGCACATCAGGAAAGTCCATGTCTAAAAATGTGTTAAACTGGTGTGTAACAAAAACATTGATGGAATTGTAGGCTTTAGATTTATTTTAAATACTGAATGTTTTGATAAGATGGAAATAATTTTTTAATGCTGGCAGTAGAACCTATATACTTATTGTTTTATTTTTATTTTCAGTACTACATTATGTCTATCACCATGTCCTGCACACTGGCTTGGATGGCATCGTCTATTAACAATATAATATTGTTATACATCTTGTCAATTGTGATACTGTTATGGCCTGGTATTCAACACAGAGGAATTTTCAACACATTACTGTCAATGGTCAATATGGCACCCAAAGTACCATCATTGAAAACAGAATGAAGTGTGGCCATTTGTAAATCTTAATATTAAAAGTTAAATATATTATTATGTGATATGCATCTGGTCATTACCATTTTAAGCTTAAGCTTAGCGTATTATGCATTGTAAGCTTTAATTATTTTGTTAAATTTTAAAGGAAAAGTATAAGTATTCTAGCATAGTTTTAACGGAGTTCAAAAAAGGAGGACGTTCTTTACTTTTTGTATTTTGATACAATTATATAATTATAACTTTAAACAAAAATTAAAAACAAACTTCAAATTACTAAAAAAGAAGTTATTTATTTGCTACCATTAGGGGTGAAATTTTTTCTCCAATTTTATATAGGATTACCCTTGAAGTATAACCTATTTAATAAAAAAAGAACCATTAAAATCGGTCCTCAATCTGCAAAGATATCATATGAAATTCCTTAAACAATAGTCCAATATGAAACTTTTTTCCATATTTTCCACCATTTTTTTTGAAAATTTAATGAGACCACTCTTGAGATAAAGCCTATTTAATTAAAAAAAAAACATTAAAATCTGTCCTCAATCTGCGAAGATATCGCGTAACATACAAAAAAAAACGAAAACCTCCTCCTTTTTGGAGTTGGCTAAAAATAGTCACCTTTATATGGAATTTCCATAATTTAGTAGAGCAACAACTTATTTACAAGTGTTGTACTTATTTACATAAAGCTTTATATGCTGTGGCAGAGCCATGTTGCAGCTATTTATGGTTGTAGGACAAATGGGTTGGCTTGACCAGTGAATAAACATGCTCTCATAGAATACCAACGTAAAATAGTAGTTTAATGCTGATTTGTTTTGTTTAGTGTGTGTGAAAACCAGATATCCTTTTTACTTTAAACAAATTCCATCTTAGTCTTCAGGGGTGACGTGCATGCAAATTATGAATATAATAGTATAATTTTAATAAATTAAAAAATTACCCAAATAAAATTTAAATTTCGAGGAACAGTGACACAAGTAATCTAAAAAAAAAACTGGTCCAAATATTTTTTATTTTTATAGCATAGGGTGACAAACGAGCACACAGTCCATCTGATAGTAAGTGAATGCTGTAGCCCATAGACATTCACATTCATCCCCAATTAAGAATCAAAATGTTGTCACCCCTGAGCATTAAGATGGAGTGCTTGGTTCTCTATTTAGCAGAGAGCTTCCTGAAAAATGTGTGTGTGTTACAATCATATTTAGAAGTTAAAGTATGAAAGTATTATGAAATTAGGTATTTCATTATCTAAGTCTAGTTAACTAATCCCATCACACCCAGGATTATCTGGTAAAAAATGCTAATAAGCATTTAGCTCGCCCTTTGTAATCTTATAGTTGATAAGGTTTGCATTAAATATTAATAAAGGCTGCATACATGTTTTTTAACTTTTTTTTTCATTCATTATATCCATTCAGATAAGTATTAAAAGCTTTAAAAACAACAAATAAGTACTATAGATTACAAAGATGCCCATGTAAAAGTAATAAATCATGTATATGGGAGAGTAAAATTCTTGAACAGATATAAAGAAGAACAATTTGGATCCATTTATTAATCATCAACATCATGAAGATTTATTATGTGGTAGGACTCCTTTACTGGCTAGGATTAAGTCTGGGTAGCAACCAACCTCTTACCAATTTCTGGCGCCAAATAGCAGTGCTCACTGCTGTGTTTCGGCTTGAACAGTATAATTATAGTATTATAATTAGATTATTAATTTTAATTAATTATTAGAGCCGGCTGTGAGGCATTCCATTGTAGATGACACTGTAACTATAGCCTTATTAATTTGATGTTGGCTGCAGGTGTCCATGGACTGCAGTAGCTGCTTACCATCAGGTGGACTGTAACTTCATTAGTTACTTTAGTTTTATATACTCTAACAGTGGTAGAGTCACGCTACAGCTTTTGCTGTAGCGTGGATGGGCCGGCTCGAACCGAGGCAGTACCACGACCTCACAGAATACCAACGTAAGTATCCGTGGACTTCTGCAATATAAGGGGACTTCACTCTAACCTTACACTGCTATCTAGAGACGGCGAAGCCGGCCTTGCTCTTTTTGATCGAGATGCAAGTGTCCTCTCCAGCTGACGCTTCGTATCTGCCCTACCCGGGGTACAAATTAGAACACTTCTTTGTGCCCCGGCCTGGAGTTTGCGTATACGTCAGAGAGGATATCTGTTCTCGACGCCTCGGCAGTCTTGAAGGTACGGACCTGTCCATCTTTTGGCTGCGCGTAGACAGCGACGACCATCCCCGCGTCTACGGGTGCCTGTATAGGTCCTAGAACGGTAATGCCGACACAGACCGACTCATTGGACAAAAGGCTACAAATTTTTGGCTACAACAGATCCCATCCGTAGAGATTGTGATACAAGGCGATTATAACACCCACCACGCTGAATGGCTCGGTTCACGTTTAACCGATCATGCGGTCTGTTTAGGACTTTGCCTTGGCATATGGTCTGACTAACTGATTACTTCGCCTACGCGGATTCCAGATGTGGAGGATCATACACCTTCCCTGTTGGCCCTTCCGCTGACCTCTCATCCGGACGTATATCAGGTTTCTGTCTCGGCTCTTCGGACCATTGTCTGATCCGGAGTGTGGTGCCATTAACACTCTCCTCGAAGTTGCGTTCTGCAGGTTGCCGCCGTTTTTGGCATTACAGGTCGGCGGATTGAGATGGAATGCGGTCTTTCTTCGCATCCTACCCATGGGGGCGGGTTTGCTTCTCGCCGAATGATCCCAGCGCTGTTGCTGACTCTGTCACCGATGTGGTGATACAGGGAATGGAACTATTTATTCCATTTAGCATCTGTGGTTCCCATCGGTGGCAGATCTCAACATTGGTTTGGTCGCACCTGTAAGACTGCATTACGCAGTAAGCTGGAGTGTTTGTCAGACCTGGGCTGAGGCTTCGGCGGCTCGGGATGTAAACACCAGCATGCTTAAAAATAAGTATATCTTCGCCTCCAGGTCCTTCAAAAGAGTTATTGCCGAGGCTAAGTCAGAGCACATAGGCAGAACTGGCGAGAAACTAGTTCGCCTTTTTTCGGGAACCCGCGCATTCTGGTCTCTCGCCAAGGCTGTCCAAGGGAATTTCTGTAAGCCATCACTACCATCTCTGCACAGGGAGGATGACTCACTGGCCCACGCCGCAAAAGAGAAAGCCGACCTTTTAAAAGAGCCTTTTTGCGTCCAACTCGACTCTCGATGACGGGGGGAACACACCGCCGACCATCCCGCAGTGTGAGTGCTCTATGCCTGATGTACGATTCACACAGACCTCAGTACGCAAAGCACTCTTCTCCCTGGACATCCACAAGTCGAGTGGGCCTAACGGAATCCCGACAATTGTGCTGAGGACGTGCGCTCCAGAGTTGACACCGGTTCTAACGCATCTTTTTCGATACTCCTTAGGCGTTGTCCCGAATTCATGGAAGACAGCTTTCGTGCACCCGATCCCTAAAAAAGGTAACCCCTCTGATCCGTCCAATTACAGGACCATCGCCATCACCTCCTTGTTCTCTAAAATAATGGAGTCCATTATTAACTGCCAGCTCATGCGGTACCTTGAGGAACACCAGCTGATTAGTGACTGCCAGTATGCTATCCGTCGGAGTCGCTCAGCTGGTGATCTCTTGTTTACCTAACACTTAGATGGGCGCAGGCGATCGAGTCCAAGAGGGAGGCATTGGCCGTTAGTTTGGACATAGCAAAGGCCTTCGATCGGGTCTGGCACAAAGCGCTTCTTTCGAAGCTTCCTTCCTATGGGCTTTCCGAGAAATTGTGCAATTGGATCACCAGTTTTCTGGCTGATCGGAGCATCAAGGTCGTAGTAGACGGTGCGTGCTCCGATTACAAGCCTACTAACGCTGGTGTTCCACAAGGCTGCGTGCTATCACCAACGCTGTTTCTTCTGCATATAAATGGTATGTTGCAAACCGGTATGTATGTTACATTGCTATGCAGATGACAGCACTGGTGATGCGCTATACACTGGCCGTGCCAGTATTTCACGAGAAAAAGTTGCCCAGTACCGGAATAAACTTGTGTCTGCTGAAGTCGATACTTTGTTGAACAACATCTCGGATTGGGGGCGACTAAGTCTAGTCCAGTTCAATCCCCAGTAGACACAAGTTTGCGCGTTTACCGCTAAAAGGAACCCCTTTGTCGTATCTAATCAGTTTCAAGGGGCACTCCCCTTGTTGCCTCAGCCAGTATCGGAATCTCCGGGGTCGACATATCGAGTGACGTGCAGTTTCGTGGTCACTTGGAAGAGAAGGCCAAATTGGCGTCTAATAAGCTTGGCGTGCTCAACAGAGAGGGACAGTATTTCATGCTGGCACACCGCCTGCAACTTTACAAGGCGCAGGTTCGGCCTCACATGGAATACTGTTCCCATCTCAGCAGGGGCACCCCGGTGCCAGCTCCTTCCACTTGACCATATCCAGCGCAGAGCGGTTCGAATCGTCGACGACCGAGTTTTTTTCCAATCAGCCTGACTCACTGACACTGCGTAGAGATGTTGCATCTCTTTGCGTATTTTATCGCATGTACTGCACTAGCACTGCCCGTTGCTCTGAGGAATTGTTCGGACTAATTCCAGCCGCTCAATTTCACCATCGCACATCGCGACTAAACTCGCGATATACCATCCATACCATCTGGATGATTGGCGGTCCACCACTGTGCGATTTAGAAGATGTGCGTGTTGGCGAACTTCACATGTCTATTCTTATATCATGCGGGTTTCCTCACGAAGTTTTCCTTCACCGCTGAGCCCGAGGTAAATCTGCACTTAAAATTGAAATTAATTTGGTGCTGGCGGGGATCGAACCCAGGTTGGTGGCGTACTATGAAATTTACAGCGAGCGTTTAGCCCCTGAGCTACCACAGCTATATGGAATACATTATTACTAATAAATTAACTTTTCTTACATACCTACTGCTTAACAATATGTGGCGGCGTTGTCGTCGCGCCACAAG